TGATTGTAGTTCGCTCCATAGGTTTTGAAATAAACCAGTTAATAACCAATTTCAAATATACTGAAAAGTGTTTTTTCGGCTATTGACGGTTATTCGAAAACCTATGGAACAAACTACAATAAATTTGATCTCATATGAAAGATAATTTAATTTTCTACAACTTTTGTTTCGGTACTTTTTGTTAAAAAACGCGTACTTTCCCTGATATTTGTAAAAATGTAAAAAATAACCGTGATTTTAGAAGTTTTCAAGCGCTAACTTTTTAAGGAAGCATTTTTCGACCCATGTTTATAGGAAACTTTTTGTTCGGAATTAAATTATCTTTCAAATGAGATCGAAATGATTGTAGTTCGCACCATAGGTTTTGAAATAAACTAGTTTATAACCAATTTCAAATGTACAGAAAAGTGTTTTTTGGACTATTGACGGTTATTCGAAAACCTATGGAACAAATTACAATAAATTTGATCTATTTTTCGACTCATGTTTATAGGAAACTTTTTGTTCGGAATTAAATTATCTTTCAAATGAAATCAAAATGATTGGAGTTCGCTCCATAGGTTTTGAAATAAACTAGTTTATAACCAATTTCAAATGTACCGAAAAATGTTTTTTCCGATATTGACGGTTATTCGAAAACCTATGGAACAAACTATTGTATAATAATTAATTGATAATAAATAAGTTGAATATAAATAACATAATAATTAATTGATTACGTTTCATAACATAACCCTGTTGCATAATAAATATTAATAAGTTATTTGATTATATATATATATATATTCGTGTTTAAATACAATATTTTAAAAGCACATATTTTTAAATCACATGAGATAATCTGTGCTGATGCACTATATAGGTCATCATCAAGTATGCAAGTGCGCTTTAATTATCGCGATCTGCATTGAAGCCATTCATCGCACTGTATGAATTGCACTATAGATGATTTCTTTCTCTTATAGATCATCCGATAAAGATATTTCATTAGTACATTTTAAACACATCTGACCTACATCACTACGGATTTGATATGCTAAGCTGCCACCTGCGCCATGACTCTCCATAAATCTTCACTGTACAAGCGACCGAGACAAACTACGTCAGCTTCCATGCTGCGCCGAAGATCTGCAGCCATCTTGGCAGCCGAATTCAAACATTCAAAGGGTAAATTACGTAGCTAAGTTAGGATCGAGAAGAGAGAAGCCGGAATTTAATTATAGATCGATTAAATTGTCAGGTCTTATTAAACATATTCTGCAAAATCCAATCTGTGAGTTTCAGTTTCCAGTTTACCGTATAAAAACAAATAAAAGCATTCTATAAAATTATATATATTTATTTTGACATACGTGTTAGCGGAACGTTTCAAGAAACATTAAATTGCTTTTTATCTCTGTAAACGAGATAAGAAAGCAATGCAATGTAATGCACTCCATTTTGTGTCTATATTTTTCTGAGTTTCATATATTAGTGAGATATCTATTGTTTACAAGAAATAAAAGTGAAGTAATATGAATTTATGTGCATTAATACATTTCAAAAATATAAATATAGATTCTATTATATTAATATATATTAATATAATATATATTATAGATATATATCTACTTAGCCATGCCAAATTTTTATTTTATTAAGAAATTTAAATTATGCTGTAATATTTGAAATATTTCTTTTTCACTCGATTTATATATCTCTCTTTTATTTATTATAATTCTATCTCATTCGATATATATATATATTTTTTTTTTGTTGCAATTCAATTTTGCACAATAGAAATTATTTATAATTCGCGAAAATTAGAACAGAGGAAAGTATAAATCACGCACGCGAGTCTATCTTTTCTTCCATCGAATATCGAAACTCATCCTTCCTTGAGACACTTTGGTCAGGTGCAATGGTAAAGGCGGATAGCCGCATTAAAACATTAACGCATTATTGTCACGCCGTGCGACATTACGTAACGCGAGCCGCGATGCGACGTCGATCGTTTCGTTGGAATTCAACGCTACGTAATCGCGACGATACAATCGAGCAGCATCGCATTTGCATCGACGCGAAAGGAAAGACACATGCATATACAACGGCACATTCCTCGCTCGGTACTTACGTTATTGGGCAGCACGGCCGCATTTGCGATGCTGGAGAGAAAATCATGGCTGACGCGGGAGCTCTGCGAGGTCCCGCTGTCGCTGGACACGCTGGAGCTGTCGTAAAGCACATCGGAAACGTCCAGTTTCATCTTGCCGTTCACTTCTGCGAATCCGCGTCAAAACCGAGAATCAGAGTACGTTGCGTTTATAACCTCTCTATGCTCTCTTACGACAGAGATGCGGAGAGTAGCGTAGTCTGAGAGAGAGAGAGAGAATGAGGTAAAACGAACGCGAAGATCTTGCGCCGGATCTTAACGAATGTACGTGGAACTCGAAGACGGCACGCACGTATTGCAGGTCCCTTTGCTCGAAACTGTGTAAAACTGCACCCGATGACTCATACCGTGGGGGAATACCTCGCGCGCGCGTTCGGTAATCCGCGTTCGAACAGCGGAGAGAGTCGAGGCTGCTCGAGGTCTCTCGAGCGCGGATGACGTCATGGGCTATTCCCAGTCGGCCAATCACTGTCGAGCGCGACAGTACCGTGCCATAATGTTCGATAACGAGGCGCTATCTACGCACGCGGCGCCCGGATTGTTATTAAAACGCGTTTTAATCACTTCTTATCTCCGTTCCTTAGTCTATGTAATTATTCACGGCTCCATATTTTAATTACATTAAAGTCTACATATAAGGATATTAATGACATACGACACGGTTGCCTTTGAACGTCATGTAATACATCAATTGAATAAAGATGAAAAATTGATTATTCATATAAGAATTTGATTTTGTTGTGAATTTTCTCTTTTTAAAAAAGAGTTTGTATAAAATATTAAATATATTTCATATCCACGTTTATCTTTCTCTTTGTTAATTGTAAAAAATTTCATATATAAACATATCGAATAAATATATTAAAAATAAAATTCGAACTACTGAACCGTATTTCTAACTTGACGTCTCTGTCGAATACCTAAAGATGAAAGTTGCGCATCGCTTTGTATCGGTATGACGATGACCAAGCAGGCGTTCTATATTTTTTTCGGAACAGGTTGGATTCCAAGAAATCTTTATATCTCGCGTTAATACTTTATTACTTTCTCCAATCATCTTCCGCGATCTCTAGTATCTTGATCTTTTTTTAGAAAGATAGAGAGATAATAAAAACAATAGATTTTAATTTTGAAAATAAAAAATAAAGATAATAAAAAATATTTTCTTATTAATATTTCTTACGAATGCATTGAATACTCAATCAATCAGTTCTATCAGAGTTGTGTCATTTCACACAAGATAATCTTATACTCTCAGCATTCCCGCGAAGGACGCATTAAGAGGTCGTACACGTGAACGTCTTGATTTATTCGCGTGAGCCAACATTGCATCGGCCTTCCTTTTTGCAAATAAAAATAATGCCACGTGTTTGTTCGATGTTTACTAAATCAAAGGAACGGCGCGTGATCGCGTCTCAAGATAGATTGACTAGAAGTGACAGATTTTATTAGAGAATATGAACTATATGAACTATGCGATTAGATCCATTACATTTAATAAAGCAATAATAATTAGGTAATATTGCAATTATTTAGATATTGGCATTATTACATTTCTTCCCGTTCTTATCAATACAAAATATAATTGTTATGTAATGATTTATTAACGCATCTCTCTCTTTCTTTCACACACACATATATTTAATTTTTTGCGATAAAAAATAGAGTATTTTACTTGAATTTCGTCGACGCTTGACTGAAAATGACGGATAGTTCGCACTTGTGAGCTTCGAATGGATTGAAAAGAATTTCTAGCTAACGGTTAAAACCGGTAACGCATCGGCGAAAATCTCGAGCGAGATTCCAAGAATGGCGGCGCGTTTCCGAGAATCACGGATGAGTCACTCAGTGGTCGCGTGGGCGCGAGCGTTGCGAATGGGGTAGCCGGAACATATCGAACTAGATGCGTGACTCACCGATCTGATATGTGAAATATTCGTGCTCGTAACCTGCTGCCTAGACCAAGGGTGACCAACCTGTTCGCGAGCGACCGCAAACGCTAACACCCTCTAGAATGGAATAACCGTAGGCATAGGAAAAGCATAGATTGTAATCGTAAGTTTCTTCTCTTCTTCTTCTGTATGGCTGATTAGGCTTCTATACATAATTTACCTATACGCCAGTTGGTGTATTTATACTCATAAAAGCGAGCTAAAGATATATAATGCAACGAAAGAGACGGCGATATTACATTTTTTCTTTTTTTTTACCAAAAATAGAAAAATCAAACATTTCTAAAACCATCGTCCGTTAGAAAAGGATAGCAACCCAGACAGCACAAAACGTCCTCAGGATCATCCTGAATATGTCCAGGATGGTTCAGGATATTTGTAGGATGTTTTAAGATATTATTATAAATATATTTTATGAAAATTTAATATGCATACATGATTACTTTCGGTTATGTAGGCTATTTAATATAATTTAGAAATTTTAAGTATTGTAATAAGTATTAATGTCCTATAAATGTCCATTGGATAACCCCTGGATGTCTGTAGGATATCTGCCCTGTCTATTACCCAGACAGCACAAGGATGTCCTTAGGACGTCCAAAGGGCATCCAATATAATAGACAGGGCAAATATCCTACAGACATCCAGGGGTTATCCAATGGACATTTATAGGACATTAATACTTATTACAATACTGCTAGTGTACGGCTATTATTTACTCTTCCTCAGGACATCCAGAGGAGATCCGAGGATTAAAATAGGATATCCTCAGGATATCCTACATGTATGTCCTGGATGCCCTTTGGACGTCCTAAGGACATCCTTGTGCTGTCTGGGAAACTCTGTTAAATAGTATTATCCTTGTCGTTTGCGATGCAGATTGGATAGTGACAGTTTATGTTTCTCTCTTATATCTATAATCTATAATTTTTATGAAAATTTCCAGATATATGATGGCAATTTTACCAGCAAAAACTTTCGGGGAAAGGGGTCGCTCACGGTTGGTACTCATGGCGCGAGCGACAACTAGGTGACGATCCACGTATCAGGCATCGGTATGAAATTGTCGCGTAGTTCAAATTTTTCACAGGAAAAATTCTGTATCACTTCGCGCGTAACGGACATCGGGTGTATCGTGCGATGCAACAAAGGATCGTCGTGTTTCGCGTGATTTATTCGCCCCGACGACCTGTATCTTGTATCTCGCGGGTGCAGTGATTATCGGGAATGTCGTGTGAAGTGGTGAACTGTTATCGTATCGCATTAATTCGATTCGTATCCGCGAGTGAAGGAATATGGAAACGATGGAGCGAGCGAGCGAGCGGAGAATGGCAGCGGCGATACATTGGCCGGTAAGTAAAACGGCATCGCGGCAGTTAATTCGTTTTTCTATTGTAATTAGCCACGTTTTGTCGATCAATGCATATATATATGTATGAGTGTTAGATATGTGATTGTGTCGGAGGGACGCAAAGGTGGTGGGAAGGAGGGGTGGAGTCAAAAAGTATCGAGCCCCGTTAAGTAGCTCTATCTTTCTCACTCGTGCGGACATTTTTTACTTAAGATAACGGCACCAGAATAAGTGAATAAGAAGAAAATACGCGACAGACGAATAATATAGCAATAATAAAATAGTTCTTATATATATATATATATATATCATAAATTTCTAAAAAATTGGGAAGCAGAGAAGAAACAATTTTTTAGATACATCTCAATAATTTTTATAGTTAGTCTATTTTAGCACGATTAAAAATTTTATGAGTCGTGCTTTTTGTATAATTATAAATAATATTGATAAAGCAATTTATTTCCGCGTAGTCTCTCTCTCTCTCTCTCTTTCTCTCTCAAAGTCTGTAAAAAATAGAGGAACACGCTCTTAAATCACAGAAATTAAAATTTGATAATTTAATTTAATTGCTTGTCGCAGTCCAGGTGTATTTTTGGACACGATTGGTTTTAATCAGCTGAAAAATCCATCCAGCTCTGCTTGAAATAATTAGTATACACACTTACATATATATATATATTTGTTTGGTAATTCAAGCACGTAAACAGAGTACGTAATAGCCGTTTTGATAGTAACCGTGAAATGCACGAGCTTCCTTTATAGAATTGTTCGTAATTGTATTTCTCGATACCACAGATATCATATGAGCATTAAAGTAGAGGAAACGGTAGGTCGAGGAAAACGTGTAACACGTGGGATGCTAATCTACTCAAGGTCCCGTGTAATTCTGGAAAATATCTAGCGACGACTTTTAAAATAGCTATTTTTATCACAATAGATAAAAAGAATATTCTTATTTATATATATTGATATATCCACTTTTTTCAATATAAAATTTCTATATTTTTTAATGAAAAATTTCTAGCGTATAATCATTTATCGTTATTCTGTCAATCTTATTATTTTTGTATAAGTTTAAATGTTTGTTTTGTTTTTTTTTTTTTTTTTCTCGAAAGGATCAAGTTCCTCTAAAGTTATTACCTTCCAATTATCTTTATAACCCGTTAAACTTTGTTAAAACATAATCAATACATTAATATCGAATATTTTTTATATCAGTTTCCATTTTCCCCTTAACATCAAACATGTTCTCGAGAGGATCAGCAAATTCGCGCATACAAGCTATCTAAAATTAAAGTCACCTAAACAAGCAGTGGCGGGACATTATACAGTAAAGATACATCTCGTTACGGGCGCGTAATGAAACTCATGAGGCTCTGACATTCACCCGCTTAGCTTTGTACCATGATGAAATTCGAATAGAAGGCAGCTGTCATCCTTGAGCTAGCTTCTGCTTGCAGCCAAGGTCGCCCCGTCGGCTTAAGCTACCCGGTATCTCAAACGTTGGCCGATTGGAAAAAAACAGACGACGCTACGGAATGTCATTGCCGTTTAGTATATTGTACGTATATGCGTATCATCGTACGCGATCGCGAAACATATGCAAGGAACCCGCCGAGAGGGAGGGAGGGAGTCAGCTGCAAAAATAGAGAGCGCGAACGCGCGCCACTTGCGAAACATACGCGGCAATGTGCAAATTTCACTGGGAAACTCTTTGTGCATCCAAGTGTATGCTGCACTCACACACCTGCGTATTGCACTTACGCTGAAATTGCATTATCGCGATCGAATAAAAACTCCCGTT